TTTTTTTCAGTGGGGGAAAATCAACTGGCGTTTTTTCAAGGTTTTCACTCCTCAATGGTTTTTTTTTTTCCCCCCAGCCACACCAACTACGCCGACAGTTCAGAATGTTCTAATTAATCCTTCGTTAATCGGACCAAAGAACATTCTTATCACTACAAATATGGTATCATCACAGAATACCCCTAATGAATCAAATCCCTTGAAAAGGAAGCATGAAGATGACGACGACTATGATAATTTGTGAAGAGACTGTCCGATCCCCTTCCGTTCGTCAGTGATTCATACTCAGCCTCATCAGGTTTTTGCCAAGAATTCTTTGTAAACGGTGTGAGGGCGTGTAAATACTCTGTTAATACGCAGTTGGGTGCGGAGTGAGAGAGAGAGAGAGAGAGATCACTGCCTGCGGGAAGAGGAAAAAGCAGCTGATCTTTTCCTGTGGCCCCTAACGGCTTTTGAACCTCGGCAGCGATGGTGAGCGCCGGTCACCGTGACGCAGCACAGCCTTCGCGTCTCTTCCCTCGCCTTATTTCTAACGGACCTCTCCGTGGCTCTGAGGCCTGGTGAGCCAGGTGCTGGTAGTACCGTCCCGTGCCAAGTAAAAATAATTTGTAGAAAACACTGGGTGGTGTGACACAGATGCTTATTTCAAATAGCGTCAAAAACAGAGTCCTGGGTGAGGCGGGACGTAGCTGGGGAGGATCAGCCTTTCCACCCACCCCCCCCAAAAGCGCGTTTGCTGCTTCTAGGTTGTGTTAGTTGCGTTCGCTGTTCTCCGGGCGCAGCTCCAGTGGGTGTGAAGGTCGGCTCTTAGCAGTAGAAATGCAGAGCAGAGGTAGAGGAGGGGGGTTCTGGAGAATGCTGTGCTCAGGCTGGCCTCCCCTCTCCGTTAACCCGTGGCTTCTGTTGACCTTAACTCCTCCGCCAGTACCCGCAACGCAGAAGTTAGAGGTAAAATCCCAGCCAAGGTTTGTTCCTTATTTATTTCCCAAGAGCTGCGCCTCTCTGTCAGTCGTCACTTCGTTAAGGTTGTGCTTGTGTGTGTGTGTGTGTGGAATAAAGTGTCGCTGGCGTCGTGGCCCACGGCGGGGTCTGGCGAAGGGCAGATCGCCGGAGCTTGACCCCGGGCGTCTGACTTGGTGGCTCGGGTACCTGCGGAGGGTTTTGGGGGGTGTCGGTTCCCAAGTCTGCTCTACTGAATAAAGACTGAATAAATGTCATGTGTTTTTATACGTTAAACAACCAACAAGGCGGCCTGTGTTTTTAACAGTGTCTTGCTAAAGGCTTTAGCCTGTCCTGCCCTCCCTAACGCATCTTTTTTCTCGTGCCGAGCTTGACGTGGCTTAGGCTGGGAGAGCCCCGGCACAAATGCTGGCTCGGCTGCAAATGCAAAAATCGTTATTTCCCGCTAAGGCCCTTCAAGGTTCGCAAGTAATTGAATATACCAGCTTCTGCATGGATGCAGGAGGGAATGCTGCCTCTCCGGGACACGCTTTTCGGGAGTGAAGTCGACCGACGGCCCCCCCTCGCTTCCCCCCGGGCCGGCTCCTGCTGCGGGATCCGAGGCTGCCGGCTCTGCGCTGCTCTGCGCAACGGCGGCGTTGGTCTCGGTTTGCCTTTTTTTTGGTTTTGTTTTGAAGAAACGCTGAATAAAACTCGCTCTTCGCTGCGGGAAGAGGAAGAGCAGGCGGGTGACTTCGCCATGTGAAGGTTTATATAAGGGTTGAAGAAAAAAAAAACCAAACCCAAAGCTACTCTCGGCAGCACACGGGGAAGGGAAAGCGCGTGGTGGGGGCTGCTGCGGGCAGGGGCACGGCAGCCCTCCCCGAA